TAAATAAATAAATAAATAAATAAATAATAATATATTCTATAGTACAAAAATGTATTTCTAAAATACGTAACTGTTTATCTTGCAGTTTCTAAAATGTTAACTGTTTAAGTGTAATATACATCTATGAAACTGGATAAGTTTCTTTATATTTAAAGAAAACAATTTTATGAAATTAAATTAGATTTCCCTAGAAATGGAGTCATGAATCCTGTTGAAACCTGTATTTTCCTGCTTCTGTCCCATTCAATGACCACACATATCTTTGTTTCCCCCCCTTCTCTTGGCCAGTTGATATAAACACTTCAGAAGGCTTTGTTATTCTAGTTAGTCTTAGTTACCTATAACTAACTGGTTATAACAGAGAGCTTTGTCTGCTTCCTGTCCTCAAAACCAAACAGATCATCTGCTCTTTTTTTCAAAAATGCGTCTAAGAACACTCTTCCCATCCCCTTAGCTACAGAACCATTATGACTTTTTGTTTTTCAAAATCCATAGCTATATAAAAAAATATATTCCAGACTTCTGTCCATAATATTCATTTGAATACTGTGAAGAAAACATTTTTTAAAAAATTATTAACATTCACTACAGAAATTGTAATGAAGTTTATCTGAGTTTTCCATGCAGTCAAACAGTTAAATTATGCAATAAATAGTAATAAAGCCAACTGCATCTGAGGGAGTTTCCCAAGGGATACTCAGTTTAATGCTAAACCAAAAATGATGTTTAGAACTTTACTGGATTGAAAACATGTGGAAGTGGTACAATTTTCAACAGCTTGACAAACTCATGCTATTTTTTTTTTTTTTTGCCTCTATATTTTTGCCATCTTACTGGTCATAGTGATCACAGAACCAGTTTCTGCTCAGTGCCATATTTTAAAATTTATTCATTTCTTAAATGTGTTAGTTAAAAACTTTCTTTTGCATACAGGATTCCAGAGCAAAAGGAAGGATGTCTTCAATCTCCACTGACTTCAGAAGTTATACCAAGCAGTAACATGAAATCAGATCAGACATAAGACAATGCATCTGATCCTTATTCTACACGTCTGTGACTTTTAAAAAAGCCATTAAATTTTTTTTTAAATGTGGTGGGCACCAATTGGAAGTGAAATCATATATAATATATAATCTGAATGTATCCATCTAAAGGTCCATAAAACCTAATAGTTTTAATTTTGTAAAAGGTAAATTCACACATTCAACAGGGAAGTCTTTAGAGTCCTAGTAATCTAAAAGTGTTTGATAGGTCATGTTGTTAAATACCAGTTAATTGGGCCTGTTTTTGAGAGGAAAGTATCTTTATTAATCTATTGTACTAAAAATGTCTGGTAGCACCTTAACAATTAACAGGTTTAAGATATTACACTTTCATGGATGACCATCTAAGGCAGTGCTTCCCAAACTTTTTCCTTCATTACCCAAATTACGGGTCATAAGTGCAAGCTGGTTGCCAAGCACCCAAATTTTGCTCACGTGACTGCAGGGGTGCTACAATGGCTGGAACTTCGAGAACTGGTCATAAGTCCCTTCCTTCAGCACCGTCGTAACTTTGAAGGGTCACTGAATGAATGGTCGTAATTTGAGGACTACCTCTATTATAAAAACTATATAATTGAATGATCTTTATGTCACTTCACCATTGGTAATTACACCGATTTTCCTCTTAATAGAAATACTTTGGGAGATTTTCAAATATATTTTAGTACACATGGCAATCTTTAAGTCAATTTAAATGTTCTTCTTGTGATTTGTAATGGGTTCATGTGTCGTTACCCAAAGAAAAACCACTTTTACCCAATTTTGAGTAATTTACCCAGGTTTGGGAAGCACTGGTCTAAGAATAAATGTTCAGCATTTTTACTGCTAAGAAACAAAAATCATAATAGAAAATATAAACTCAAGGGAAGGAAGTGCTAAAAATAAATAAAAAGAGAGAGACCAATTAAATTAGATTATTTGATGGTGACAAGTCCATATATAAACAGAACTTTCAGTGGAACATAATGGAGAGCTGTGGTACTTTGATTCACAGAAATGCCTCTAAGGATCATTGTCCCCTGGTAAGTAAGAAACAGGGATTTTTATTTCAAGCATTTTGAGACAACGTGGTCACACTTTGTTTGCACATACCTCTGTCTTCGATAGTTTCTTACAAGAGAAGGGAAGAGAGATAAAGAATGCGTTATCACGTGGCATTTGCTTTCACTTCCTTAGCGTTTTAAAGAAATGTTTGGATCCTATGAACTCTGAGGCACATTTCACTCACAGAGGAGACATTCTTACATTTTCCTTCATATGACAGTATCTTCCACCATTAACCCACCTACTCCCCCATGAGCACACCGAAAAATTGCTTTAGAAATTCATAAGAACTTCAGGAACAAGATGAGATTTGATGTGGGAAGTTGTTGTTTGAGATGAGATCTCACTTTTGTAAGCAGTTCTTAGGATCCAACCTTAAAGATTCACAATATATAAAAGAAAATACTAGCATATATTAATTATTTTTTATTTTTTGTCTATTTTATTATATTTAAAAGCAATATGCTGCTGCCATGAAAAAAAAGGCAGACACATTTTTTTTTCTGTTTGAAAAGTGCATGCAAAGGAACCTTAGCTTTATATTCAATTACGTAATTTCTTCAAAACTTTTCTAATCCTAGAGAATATGAACTCATACAATTTCACTTCCCCTACACATCTCCTTTGGTACTTCTCAAGAGATACTTGACAAGAAAAGTGGAGTTCAGAAACTTTGGCTGTTAGGAATGTAAGAAACCTGTTTGTTGAAACCAAAGATACATGCACGATGACTGTTATTTATGATCTCTAGAGCCTGAAAGTCTAGTCAATCGTTCTGATTCCCACAGTGACAAGACAGATATTTCTGGGAAACCCAAGTGCAGGACCTCATGATAAAGCCCTACCAGCAACTGATATTTCAGAGGCATGTGGCCTATGTCTCTAGAAACTCAAGGTAAAAATGCCTTCAATTGGTGTGCCTTGCAAAAGCAGCAAGCAATAGCGGCATTCCAAACATCTGGTTCTAAGCATCATACACATATCTCACGTCTATGAGAGGATGTGACTCTGGGGACTGCAGAAAACTAAAATGGTGGCTAGACTTAGAGGCTCTGCATGGGTCAAACCTTTTTTTTTTTTTTTTTTTTAAGTCTTAAAACTTCCACACTGGGCCACAATGACTTGTCCTGCTTGTTGGCACATCATTTGTCAATAAAATTGTTCTCTCTTCATCTTTGTGATCCACAGCTCCAAATTCTCTTAAGTTTACATTTTTTATATTTATTTTATATTTATTATACAATTTTGAATGCAGTGCAGAAAACGAAGAAAGAGGAAAAAAACACTCATTTCTTGGTGTTACCTATTGAAACTGATTTACATTAGAATCAAGAGAGTCATGAAAGCACTTCTATATACTGTACGTGTGTGTGTGTATATATATATAAATATATAATGTGTACGTGTGTATACATTTTCTGCATTGCATTCAAAATTGTATAATAATTGTACAATTTTGTACAGGATTTAAAATTATGAATCCTAAAGCACCGAGCTCCTAGTGTTTTTGGACCAAATGACACAGATTTCTGTAGGTTTAAAATCATGAGCACATCAGGTCTTTAACTCTGCAGTTATTTAGTATTTTTTTCCATTGGATCTGTTTAAAAACAGGTATATATTTGAAAACTGAAATTTTTGATTCAGTCACAAACTATAACTTCAAATCTAATTAAAAATGAATTATTACATTTCCTGCTCTCTTACCATTCTTTTCTGACTAGTGAAACCAATGAAATATTTTCTTTCTCCCTTACTTTTTGTTAGCCCATGTTGCCAGCTTTTTCTTAGCTTACAAATTTTCTCTCTCTATATAAATTACTTACCTGTAACCCCATGCTGTTATTCCCATAATGAGAGCCAACACTAAAATTGTACCGGCAATAGCACCAATAATAATATTTGTGCTAGTGACACCTAGATTAAAACAAAAGCAAGAATTTAGTGCATTCCCATTGGAGAGACTCAATTAAAATTATACAATTTCTTTTTTCTTTTAATGTAAAACTTTGGGGGGGGAAATGTCTGGGACACTTGAATTAGCAATGAGCGACACAGGATTCAAGCTGGTGAGGGCAAAAATGAGAAAGAACAGAATCCTTATTCTTTCTAATTCTATATGTAACAGTATAAATGTGACTATATTTGATCAGGATCAAAATATGATGGAAGAACCTTTCCTTAAAAATGCTAAATGAAGAATCAACATCCTTTTTTCTGATACAGATCATGATCAAGCCAATTCACATGAATAATAATATTGCAACAAAACATGTATAACTCACCTGAATTGTGCAAACTTCCATCAATTATTGGTTTCACGAGGCGCTTACTGCAGTCTACACCTGTCCATAACTGTTCACAGACACACTGCATTTCATTACTGCAAACCTACATAGAATGTGATTCAAATTTTCAAAACAGAAAAATCCTAATATATGTTTCCTGAGGATTTGAGAAATTATTGAAGAATAACAGATGACCCTCTAGCATTTTAAATATTATATTCTAACCTCCCATGTTTAATTATAGCTGACCATGGATGAGTAAGCTGCAACTCATGGTCCTCATGTGGCCTTCAGTTCCATTTTGGGAATCTATAGAGTCTCCCCAGGATCTACCACTACATTTTGGTGTCAAAATGGAAGTTTTCAAGAATCAGTTTTTGTCTTTTTAATATACAGAAAGCACACCTTTTTTTTTTTTTAGCTTACCCTCTCAGAAAAATATTCTTTAAAAAAATCATAGACAAATTTCATCCCTGCTCATTCTGGTAACATCACTGTGTGATGGCTCCTGTACCTGTCAGATGCTGAAAATGATAAGTATTTCAAAAGTAATGGCCTCAACCAAAACCACTGTCCACCTCTGAACTGTTGATCCTATTAGTTTAACAGGCAAACCACCTTTTTTTTTAAGGGGGGAGGGAGAGAACATAAACTATGGGGACTTAATAACGTATTTAAGCATATTGGGAAGAAAAATGTTTATGGGGGCAAAAAAAGGTTATTATCCTCTTCTGTTCAATACCAAGATTAACATGCTGAAATTATCGCTCCCTATAGGACACTCTTGATCGGTCAGAAATGAACTTTCTCTCTCTTATAGGCACATGCATACGTGCAAACACACTTATGCACCTTTTTCACATCTTCACTGGAAAGCTCCCCTCTCATTTTTAGAACTACTGCCTGAAACAGAATTGTTAATAGATGACTCCCAGGTCTACAGTTTATTTTGAAATGTCTTTAAAAGCATTTCTGGTTTATAAGGGATAGAAAGATTCATTTGTGCTAGCGACTTACTGCAGCATTGAAGAAAATCCCAGGATTATATCCTAGATGGGGTAGTAAGAAAACAAAAAAGCTCATGGAAAAAGGCCATGGCAACTTCTTTCATGCTGCTGTAAAGAAAACTATATAGACTAGTACTGACTGATGTAATCACTAGGAGGTGAGCTCAGCTTGGAGGCCCTTTTATCATTATTCTTCATTCATGTGTTGCTGCATTGCTGGGCTTCTTTAAATATCCAAAAATAATAAATAAGTCATATCTCTTCCCCATTCCAACTCCACCATCCCAAAACATAAGAAAGAATAAACTTACTCCATGTCCTGAACAAATGAAGCCATCTGTACTTCCAGGGCAAGAACTGAAGTTAAAAGAATCCATTGAGAGGCATCTGTGATCCCAGCATATCCTATCAGGACCACAGGGAGTCCCATCTTCTACATAACCCAGGTCTGCATCTTCCTCCAGCTTCACATGACCACCACTACAAATGGAACAGGAAGATTTAGTTAATGGAAACCATTTACCAAATGAAAATCTTTTTTTTAGCAAAAACACAACCAAATCATTATATATTAAGATATTATGTGCCTGTGTATGTATACAAGTCTCAGTAGGTCACCATATTTGGCTGACCTTGTCTGGTCATGGAAACTAAGAAGGATCAGTCCTGGTTAGTAGAGAGATGGGTGACAACCATGGAATATCAGGGTTGTAAGGACAACTTCATGGATCGTTACCTTGCTGCGATGAAGGGGATCACGTCACAATAATGCTATGAGCTATATTGTTGGGAGTGTACACTCCCAGAAGGTCACCAATGATGGACAGGTCATGGATGAGGGATCAGATTAAATCCTGGAGAAGGAAGCAGGATACAAGGATACAACCTATCCTGTAATCTGTCAAGAAAACCAAATGGACATTCACAACAAGGACAATTTCAGTGTAATACTGGAAGATGACCTTCCTAGTTAGAAGTTATCCATCAAGTTACTGGGGAAAAGCAGAGAGCAAGTATGAGTAACAAGAAATTGCTGTTTATGATGTAGCTGGAGTAAAGTCAAAAGAACTGCTTGATGATGTAGCCAAAGGCAAAAAGTAATTTGATGCTGCAAAAATATGTATACTATTGGTACATGGAATTTGGGAATCATTAACAGAAGCAAACTTTTATGTTGTTAGGGCAGAATGATCTCAATTTGAGTTCAAGGCACTGCAAACAATATTTTAGTGATCCAAATTTATGCTCCAACCACAGATACAGAAGAAGTAGAAGTCGAACAGTTCTATGGTGATTTTCAACATCATGTTGACACAACACCAATATAATTTGTCGTACTAATTATGGTATACAGGAATGCTAAAGTTTCAAATAAAATGAAATTTTTGGTGTACAAACAAAGCAGGAAACAGATTTATAGCATTTTGCCAAGAAAAATCTATATTTATAGCAACTGCTTTCTTCCAACAACCTAAAAATGACTCTACACACAGACAACCCTGCTATATAGCAAAGATGGAAAAGTTATAGTCAATCAGCAAAAAGAAGAACTGCTGTTGACTGATCATGCCCTCTTCTTGAAAAATTACAGCTTAAATTAAATAAAACAAATAAAATCATCTAACCAACAAGATATGCACTCAACAGTATTTCATATGACTATAGACTGAAGGTAAAGAATAGTCCTAATGGATCAGATTTCATAAATATAATTAAGATATTCTGGACTGAAATTCCTGTCATAAAAAAAAAATCCAAAATGCAAAAAGCAAAAGAAAGTGTAATGGCTATTTGCCAATATACTAAAATTAGTTCAAGAAAGGAGGAAAGCAAAAGGCAGCATAGACAGAAGAAAATCGGCCAAAATGCATGCTGAGTAAGAAAAGACAAGGAATTATATCTAAAGAAGCAATGCAAAGAAACTGAGGATAACAATTGAATGGGAAGGACGTTTATATAAGATAATTATAAAAATCAAGGAAACTTTTTATGGAAACATGAGCATGATAAAAGACAAAAAAGAGAAAGATCTACTGGAGAAAGGAAATATAAAGAAAAGATGGTGCAACTGTATGGGGAAACTGTAAAAAAAGTCACAACACTGATAATATGTATAAAGGTTTGATTACTGGACTAGGGCCACACATTCTGGAATATCAAGTTAAATAGACCCTAGAAAATATTGGTAACAACAAAGCTGCACGAGTTGATGAAATACCAGGTGAATTGATTAAAATCTTACAAATGATGCAATTGAAACTTGTGGTTTGTAAGCCAGCTATGGAAAAGATACATTTAAATTCCAATACCAAAATTGGGTAGTGCTAAAGAATGTTCCAACTATTGAACAACTGCACCTATCTCACATGCTAGAATGATAATGCTTGATTTTGCAGTTCAGGCCTCAACAAAATACAGAATGAGACCTGCCAGATGTAGAATACAGAAGAGGCAGAGACATCTAAGATCACATTACTAATACCCAATGTATAATGGAAAAAGCAAGGGAGTTCCAAAAAGTTATCTATTTTTTCTTCATTGATGGACAGAGATTTTTGACTATATAAGACCACCACAAATTGTGGGTAGCTATTAAAAATATTAGTACACTATTCCAAGCCACCTCACCAGCCTATTGATGAACTTGTAGGATAACCATGAAGCAATAGTTAGAGCAACTAAATGGTTCAAAATTGGAAAAGGAGTTATGCTGAGATTGTACATTGTCACTTTATTTAACTTATACGCAGAATATATTACTAAAAATCCTGGATTGAAAGAAACAGAAAATGGAATTTAAATTGTCAGGAAAAACATTGACCTCAGGTATGCTGATAGTACTATAACACTTAGATAGTTGGAAGTGTGGACAATTCAAGGAATTTCTTGTTGAAAGAAGATAATGTAAAAGCTGGTCTGCTACTTAGTATTTTAGAAAAAATAAAAAACTAAGATTAGGCCAATGTAAAAAGGTAGAGAAGGTAAAGCAGTAAGAGATTTTATTTTTCTAGGATAAAATATACATAGAAATAAAGAGATCCACTGGTAAGGATTACCTGCAATTATAAGTTTTCCCCAGATTCTGGAGAGAAATAGATGTGATTTCACCATCAAGCTCCCCAAGTCTTGGAATGTTAGAGGCAATGTTAGAACATAGAAGATATCCACAAAGAACATCTCTGGGAAGAAATATTATGCAAGTCGTTACTTTAAAAACAGCCTGAGAAAACATTTCTAACTATTATTTTCTATTCTAAGAAATACTCAAATTTGTTTTTTTTAAAAAGTGGTTGAATAAGAATCTACCAGTGGCAGTACTACTTGCTACTTATTCTGAAATCCCCACTATAATACTCTACTCTGCAGAATTATCTTCTGTATGTAACTTCAGTGCACAATATAGATTCAGATTATGGCTGACGTTTATCCAAATCAGTGGTGCCAGGAGAATTCAGGACACCATTGGAAAAATGTCCAGTGTCTGGGTACTCTGCCCTCCCCCCATTTTCTTTGCTGCTCCTCTTCCTTTTTTCCAGTCTCCCCCATTAAAATGTTAGTGCATCTTCTGGTGTCTTATAAAGGTATGGATCTTTTCTTTCACTCTCAACTTTTAAAAGAGTCCTGATATTCTACAAAGTAATTCTCTGATCACCTGTCCCATACTAATGCAAACCATCTCCATGCTTTTTACAGTCCTTCTGTAAGTAAGTAAGTAAGTAAGAGACTTAGCACAATTGAAGCTTGAAGCTTCACCTCCTGGAAGCCTGACCTCTTCTGGAAAAGCAAAAGTAAAAGATGTGAGTGGGTCATGGGTGCATGTGTAACTCTAGGCTACAGGCATCTAGACTTGCATTCAGCAGTGCAGCCTTAATGTTATTCCTAGCAACTACATACAACCTGTTATTAATGAAGTATCAAAGTCCATTCAAAACAAAGTCACAAGTTTCTAGTCACCCAATGTCATAATTACCCATTTTGGGTAGTAGATAGGAAGTAGTAGGGGAACAAAGATGTTATGAGTAATGCAGTGGGGGTAAGCATGTAGTTTTAAAAGTGAAAAGGGTTATTTGCAAAGAAACATATAAGCCCTAAAAGAACACAAATACAGATACTATACTATATAAACAGAGTGGCTTGACTTACTCATTCTTGCACTGAATCCAAGTATCTTTGTCTCTGCCACAGCTACCTTTCTCTGTTCCTTCTATATTTAATCTTTCATAGCAATATTTATCAGCAGCTGTCACTTCTACAGACAAAAACATATTTAAAAAGATGATGTGTGGTTGGAGTTAGAAGTTCAACACTGTAAATGTAAATATTCAATTCAAGTTAAAGTCACAAATTATATTCTCTCAACTATTTTTTCTTACAGATACCTAAAAATAAACTATAAGAAGTTGATGGGGCATTAAAAAAACACTCAAGTCTTTGTGTCTAAAAGCATGCCATCTAACTTAGGCTTCTCCAACCTGGTATCTTTACTTGTATTCAACTTAAAGTCACATGATGTCACAGCCAGCATGGCAGAAATATTGAAAGGAAAAGAAAATGAAAGAGAAAATGCTCCAGCTAGTTTTGCTGAATTTGTTTCTGATTCCAGTTTATAGTGTTTTATAGATTAACCAGATATTTCAAGTCCTCCAGCTCCATGTATATGAATTTTAATAAACTCAGAACAAAGATAAATAAATAAATAGTTCTGAGTTAGGGGAAGCTAATGGGAAAGGAACTGAAGATGGGTGGGAATTTCTAAAAAGGAGGCACTAGAAACACAATTGCTAACAATTCCAATTAGGCTAAAAAGAATGGAGGACAGAAAAAGCCAACATGCTTAATGAAGGACTAAAAACACATAAGAAGTATAAAGAGGAACAGGTCTTAAAGAAAGGTAGCCTGGAACTGCAGAATGGTATCAGAAAAGTTAAAGCTTAGAATGAGCTGAGTTGCCGAAGGATGCTAAGAACAAGAGCTTCTTTACAGAAGTTCATAAGAAAAGAAAGAGAAAATTATATCAGTTGGTCACAGAAAATGGCAAAATGCTAATAGGTAGGGATGTGTAAAACTCACCAGCTCAGAAATGGAACATTTTGGAAAATTCTAGACCATTCCATCCCCCATCTTGACCATTCCATTCTTGGGGTGGATTGGCAGTTCCTGAAAGTAAATTCTCCAAACCATAAGTGGTTTGAGGTATCTTAGACATGGTGTTCCAGAAGAAATGGGTTTGTTCTGGGTCTGGACAACCTTCAGATCATTTCAGTTCACTTCCATTTCAGTGGGTCTTCTTCCAAAAACTGCCAAACCACCTCTGGAACAACACTGTCCTGAGGAGATCTGGGATGGTCTGGAAGGGCACCGGATTTTGCAGGGAGGAGAAAATATAAAATATGTATTACAATACGTAGTGAGTAAATTTTCAGAAGACGCAAAAGCATACAATTTGAGAGTTTAAAGATATTACTCACTTTCTCCCCAAATGTATTTACACTGTCTGTCTCTTGTTTTGCATCTTCCTCCAAAACAAATGCCCTAAAGAAAGACATTAGAAAGTCATAAACATATTTTGTACATATTTTTTCAACAAACAATTATTGCTAATCTTTTTTCTATCCATTGAAGTAAACATGTTCAGGCATGTGCTGCCAAAGTCAGTTTTACTGTGTTTAATGAGATTCCCTAAAGGATTGCAAACTTAACATACAATTTCACTTTATGTTCATATATTATTAATTTCAAGTGCTTTATAGATCCAAAACAAAAGGCCACAACACTCAGAAAAGCAATTTCTTTTCTCTATTCTTTGTTAGAGAGGGACATAGATGTGATTGGTCTCCATTCATAGATATTTCTGTGCCTTGTATTTTGTTTAAACATTACTCAAGAATTATGACTCCAAATTTTCATTTTGTTCTGGAGAAAACAGTGGAACTAGAAATAAACTAGTGGAAATTCATGGAACAAGAATGTTGTTAGAAAGGTGTTAGAACAAAATGATAGAGATGTCTTCCTTTTATATCAGCTGAGAAGTTCCAGATCTGAAGGAGAAATGGTCATGAATTCTAACAAGGAATCTAACTTTGGTCAAAGTTCTGATTGCTAAGGCTTTGGGAAGAATTTTCCATTTTATCAGAAGCACATCTTCCTATTTCAGTTATGTCCTAAAAGCTGGAGCCAATTTTGTAGAGTTGCACTGCTATCTGGTGGTCATTGTTAAAAATACATTTTGTCTTTCCATATTAAGGGGAACAAGTTGGAAACTTCAATAGGTCCCACTTGTTCAGCTTTTCTATTTCTCTTCACATATGGGACGTTAAAAAAATCATTGATGTATCAACACGCTAAAGCCAGCATGCATGGGCACTCCACGCTGCATGAGTGATACACATTTAAGAGTGTCTCTGTAGTTTAGTGCCACTTAGCAAGTGAAAGGGTGTTTTTTTTCTTTGTTATAGACCTTACAGAGGTATATTTCGCACTGGAGTTACAGCTAGAGAAGAGGGAGATGATAATAAACATGCAGCATTGATTCAGACAATGAACAAACAATAAGGCAGGGATCTTGAATAATGAGAGGAAAAGACTAAAGGCAGTTAAACTGAAACTTTGTCTTGAGCAACAGGAAACCAACTGGGGAGGAATATGGTGGTCCTGACTCAGGTTATTATAATCACATGATTATTCTCTTCATTGTAAGTAAAAGGCATCAGTCTTTTATTGAATGCTTCCATTGTACCAAGTGAATCACAGACAGGACTCTTTGCTGAGTCCTTCACAGAAAACTATGAATGCAATTGCCTTTCAGAATCTCAGCTTGGCCTTAGGATAGTCTGCCTTATACTCTGATAATAAAAAATTGAACAGAATGATACATTGTACATACCTGTTCATTATCACATGAATACCCATCTATTTTGTAGAGATTTGGAGAGCACTAAAAATAAAGCAGAATGAATTAAATAATAAACCGGTTAGTGAGATAACTTTGGAAGCAAAATTACAGTACCTAAATTTTTAAAATTTATTTTAACAAGCTTCTGGTGGGGATTAATGGCAGGCGGATGCTCTCCAAAGCAGGGAGAGACACCATAGCCGAGAAAAGCTGGCTGGGAGGTGGATTTCGGCCAGCCCAATCTTCCTGGATCAAAGGAAGATTGAGAATAAACCATGTGTGTTCCAGATGACAGTTCCTTCTGAGTTAACTGCAGAAACTGAAAAATTTTTGCAGCTGGCTCAGGAGTTGAGCTGCAGGGAGACCTGGAATTCCATCTATGTTCCTAACTGTGGTGGAGCCAAATGAACATTATGGCTTTGCTTCTCCCCACTTCTTAATCACCTTGTGAAGTAATTAATTACAGAGGAAGAGAGATTTCCTCTGCAGCAAAGATAAGACTCCTTGCAGTGAATTAAACCTTCTTTCGAGTTTATAAAAATAACACAAGAGAGACTTTGATTTAAAGATTCAAGAGCTGTTTGCAAAAAGCTTAATCAAGAAAAGTTATAAGAGAGTTTTTAAAACAGACAAGGGGACAATTTTTTTTCTTCCTATTTTTCTATTTCTATTTTTATTATCTTTACTTTTGACGAAAGTGTTTTGCTATAATTTTTTCTTAAGCCAGCTAAAGAGACTAGCCTGGAGTGGGAATGTTACTAGCTAGCCTAAAAGAGCCTATGTGATTGGTAGAATCTGTATAATAAAAGATAAGGTACAGACAGACTGTGACATTTAGTTGCCATGGAAACACAAGCTTTGTTTATTGCAAGTTATTGAGTGCTACTAAAGTGAAAGTGTTTGAAACAGGAAGATAACAAGGGAAAAAAAGGCAGAGGCTTGTCCTTTTATTTTGCTGGCTTGGGACTTTTTTGCTTTTAGATTAAAAATGAATACTAGAAAAATGGCAAAAGAGGACAGAAGAAGCTCATTAGAACAACCTATGGAAAAAATAATTTACACAAGATATGCTTCAGAAATGTTTTGAACAAATGGGAAATAAATTGGATGCCTTCGAAAAAGAATAGATGAAAGATTTGTAAAATTTAGAGAAGAGATGAGAAAAGATGTTTAAAAGATGGAAAATTCTATAAAACAAATATCTGGAGAGGTAAAGCGAATTAATGATAGAGTGGAAATTGGATAACCTGGCTTTACTGGAATTGAGGGAGAAAGAATTCTGTCTGAGATTTAGAGTTGTTCCAGAGATTCCAGATGAAAATATTAGAGAGTGGCTTATTAATGTTTTGGCAAAATTTTTGGATTTAGAAGAGGAAGATATGGAGATGGAAATCGATAAGATTTATAGAATAAATTCCAGATTTGCCAGGATGAGGAATGTCCTTAGAGATATTTTGGTGCATTTTGTTAGAAAGATGACAAGGGATGATTCCTGCAGTAACATTTTAATACAAGATTGAAAATGGATAATACAGATATAATTGTTTTGAAAGAGATTCC